TTTGCAGAGAGTGTTGGCATCAGTAGAGTTAAACCCATCACTGCATATTGTCCCCCACTGTCCATTACAATAAACCTCAACACGTCCTTCATTGGAATAAGTTCCTTCTTGAAGACGTATCATACCAGCATATGGATTACTGTTCCAGATTCTAGTAGTATCTGTAATAATACTGATTAATACACTGTAACATTAAAAATATCTTACAGCAGTATACAGTAGCATCATAACTGTTACTATTATAACAACCACTGTCAATGTAAGTAGAATAGGAACATTGAGCAATAGATAAATAGCTGCTACTGACACAGTTAACTTCGTCCAATTTCATAGAAAGATAGTCTATACCATATCTAAAAAACAATAGTAACTATAACCGCAAGTAACAAACATACCTGACAAGACCAGCTCTATAGTAGCTTGAAGCTCCAGTGTATCCCAACTGATGACAAATGACATTAGCTTCAGCTGAATTATAATAGTAGTCATCACAAATGTTACCCCATCCATTGTGATAGACTCTAATTGTTCCATAGTAATAAGTAGTTGATGATACATTGTTACGAGACAAAACAATAGCTCCATTAACAGTGTCAGGCACACCATCTAAAATTTAAAGTCACTAAGTTGCTTGGGGTAATGTGCTATAATTGTGCATATTATACTAACAACTGATGGCTTTAAATTCTTAATAACTTAGTGCACAGTCGTTGGATTACCTTAGAGTGATTTTTATAATAATGAGAAAATGCTGAAATTTGTTGGTACTAATAATAGCAAGAGTACATAAGTATCTACTTTTGATAATATCTATTAGCAAGTTATCAATTACATATAAAATGACAAAACTAATAAATGATGATTTCAATTAATTTTTATTCAAAATAACAAAAATTAGCAATTAATAGAATTTGAAATTGAAAATGATAGGTACTTATTGTTGTAATTTTCCCTTGTAATCTAGAGCGACATAATCTAAGCTACATCTACATGTACATTGTATGAATGCACATGTAGTACAAAACTTAAACCAAAATAGTAGGCAGGATGTGATGAGTTTGATCATTGGTACTACAATGCAACAACAAAGCGACAAAAATATGCATTGATATACAGGGCAGGCCAAAGTTTAGGTGGCAACAAGGACTCTACCCATAAATAGCAAGCAATAATGAGGGACAGTTATTCATTAAAGCAGTTAGTGTTCTCATAAACCTTACAAAAGAGAAACAAAGTAGTCTAACTAACTATAGATCTAGTAATGGGGACATCAGCTAATGAACAACAATAGGTTCTAGTATATTGGTGGACATCAATTACTTTAAAGTCACTTATTTTTAAGTAGACAAATATTTGTGGTTTGCTAATGGTTTTGATTTAGCATGTACTAATCTTTGCAATTTTGCTCATTTTTCAATTCATAACTCTAGATTATTAATAAATATGAGTATTAATTTTTGTAATTTTAAAGCCATTTGCAAAAAACACAAAAATAGCACTCGTAAGTAATAGTGGCTTTAAGGTATTTTGTAAATGAACAAAATATCAACTGTTATATTGGTAGAAATAATAAAAAGTACCAATACCATATCACATGTATCTAATAGACTAACCCAATACTTGTGAGCATGATACTTTTGTGTTTGCCACAACAGAAAATGAAGAAGTGTCACCTACAAAAACATAATAACAATACACAAAAATAATCTATCAAGAGTAGTTAACAAAGCATGAATGCACAAAAAATAACTGCAAAATTACATAACATACTGCATTTCAAAAATAGATCATTAAGATGAGAGCAGTTAGTGACTGAATTCATTGGACAGCTATTGCTTGACCCATAACACACATCATAAGATGTACTGTACATACTGTCACTCCATATAGGCTGACTAGAGTTACTTGGTCTATCAAGGTGACATAAATAATTGATAACTAAAATAAATTGCTTACAGTGCAGAAAAAGTTGAATAGTTTTTAAAGCCAAGCTGCTTGCAAAGTGTAGTAGCATCATAGCTTTCAACCCCATCACTGCATATTGTCCCACCACTGTCCATCACAATAAACCTCAACACGTCCTTCATTAGAATAATCTCCATC